TAATGGGTTGTCACAGTCCTGAGTGTGCCACAGCTACTGACAGCAATTGCGCGGATTTTAGTGGTCAACCCATGAGTATCTTCGGGCGCCCTTGGTAGCTATCATAGACACACTAATCGGCCCAGGACCATGTCATAGGTAGATTTATTGTGGTTTTCTTCTGACCCGTCACCCAGCATCTAGGTCTAATTTTTTAGAGTGCGCCGCCGTCAGCTGCGGGCATGCCATCCAACACTCCTGTAAGCTGTTTCTGCGTTATCGGTAAGGATTCTACCTCTCATTATTGTGTTTTCAATGACCCGACCCACATCGGCCTGGATCGGCCCATCGTCCCGGCTCACGTCAGCGATGACTTATGTGCTTCTATCTGCCATGGCCTTTTGGTGCGAACGCCTCAATGACGCTCAAGGGAAGCATACGCTCAAGGGAAGCACAAGAGGTGGATTGGGTGAGTTGGATTACAATGCACGACTGCGCTACTTTTCTAGAACTACTTCACTACTTTCGCTGGGCGACGAGGAAAAATGAAGCGAGCAAAAGAGTATGTCACGCGAGAACGGTCTTCCCACTCAGGATACTCACGATGGATCTCCTCCTCCACTGCCAAGTCGTGTCTGGGCTCGTCATACATCGGCTTCCCGCACTCGGGACAATCCCAGCGGTGCTCCAGGTGCATGAAGGTGCAAATGTAGCAAGCGCTATGTTTGCAGTTTGGGAACCTGCGTGCTTGTAAGCAGGTGGATGGCAAGTAAACGAAATTGCTTCGTACCACACAGGTTTCGACTTGACTAACCCACAGCAGGAACATTTGTGGATGGGCAGCACCTCAGGCAATAGAGGCGGGCGAATTGTCGAAGAGTAGAGACTGTCGCGGGTTGGGAAGCCGTCTGGGAAATCGCGATACCCTTGCAATTCTTCAGCCACTGGAGGGCGCCATGCTGTTGGGGGTTCTTTGCCTTTCGCGATTTTATCTAGACGGTACGCAAAATCAAGAAGGTCAGCGGCTAGACAACGCGTGAGTCCACAAATTCAAGTCAGTCGCACCACTCACCATCCAGGTCTCTGGCCTTGCGCTCTAACAGACAGAGATCATTTGTGATGCGCGAGAGATAAGACAAGAAACTCACTAGGGGCGACGGTGTACGACTCCAGCGTGGTCTGCTTCGTTTTTGCTTGAGGACGGGCGGGTGAAGCCGCTCGAGGCGGAGTTGGAGTGGTTGGGCGAGCACGTTTTGCACGAGGAACTGTGAAACGAGGGAATGAGTAGCAGCAACGCAATGCAGGTGAGCAACCACAAACTCTTATGTCCCAGAATGACTATCTCCTCATCCTCCTCAGCGTGACGAAGCTCCTCGATTTCTATAACCAAATAAAGTGGGTTTCTGTGCCAGATGCAACGCGTTTACGACTCACCACGGGTCAGTAATTCTTCGATGTGGTGGTCGGTCAAGGGTTTCTCGCGAGTTTGGCCCTTGGATGGGGACAAGGGAGACGGTGAAGGTGGGCCGGTCGACATGGCCCAACAATCGGATCAACGTTGACATTCTGGGGGTTTTTAAGTCCTGCCGTTTGCAGATCAAACTCGTTTATTTCCTCCATGGACTCAGGTGCGAACCCTTCTAACTTTCTGTGTTCTTCGTGTGATCTTTGTGCACAGGACCTCCGCCCCTTCTACCGCCCCTCCCGCACCCTCCTGGCAGACAACAGCGGACGCCTGAGCGTATACCTCGCCCTCCGAAGCCGTATCCCTGGGCACAGAATAGAGAGGGAGTAGAAATCGGGTGGATGCTGTTTCTAGGCCGACGGCCACCCGGCCCACCACCCCTACCTTATCGTGCCAAGCTGTAGTTCAGTGTCGAGATGTGCCTTTCGTCGGACGGGAAGCCAATAGCCAGATCATACTTGTCGCATGTACTTGAAATCTGCATAAAACGCGCAACAAACTTTAGCGAGTTTATGGCCTCATCGCAGCCCTCGTCAACGCCCCAGCAGGAGCAACCTCAGGCGCACCAAAGTATGCATTTGGCCCGTCTCCGCTCATAGCCCTTGACTTGTTTATTCTCAATAGGTCCATCGTTGCAACGCGGGGAATCCTACCGTAATCACGATTACCTGTTTCTCCGTGACATCGGCGTTCCGGTCCACTTTTCATATGATATTGCTTGTCAATGGGGGGAAAATGTGGCGCGGTATATTCAATCGCCTGAGCCGCCTAATTGCTGACCGTGCTCTAAGGCCAGTAGCGCAAGCAACTCGTTTAGAGCAGCCTGATTCAACGTCGAATAGCGGTGCGGGCGGTGTCGCCGAGTCTAGCCAGCGCCAGTCGCACACGAACTGAAGAAATATGCATTTTCCCAAGTACTATAGAGACTATCATGTAGATCACTGATTGATTACTGATTGATGTCACACGTGCGCACTTGGCACAAACCTTCATCCAAGCCTGACTCCTAACCGTTGCGGCTACACAGCACAGACGCCTCATTCCGCCAGCAAAAGGACTCTGGCCCTGGGGACTGCCCACTTGTGAGTTCTCTGGTCTTCTCCTCTCTGCTTCTCTCATGGGTCGAAAAAAAAAGAGTCAGGGCGGCACGACTTTCATTTACCACGACGCTGGCCACAATCCCTCCGCCGACCTAAGCTATCATCTTGCCCCCGACACCACCCACGTCACCTTCTCTAATATTGCTGCGCAGAAGCGCGCTCGCTTGGACGATGCATCTCCGGATATCATAGACGAATACGCCGAGTTCCTACCTGAGGAACCCCTCCACCCCGAAGAGCTGGCTGCTGTCGCGAACACGATTACCTCCCGGGGAAGATGTGGTCCAGCAGACCATCTACGAACATGTCATTGGGGAGGATGAGGTAACGGGAAGCAAGCGGACGCGATATGAGAGCTCAGTGCGTGTCCCGAATATATTTTGACTCTGGCTTGACAATGCTTTCCAGGATGAGCCCATGAAAGTCTGGTGCCGTGTCAGCCACCTTTTTCTCGACAACTTGATTCGCCACGATAGTCTGGGCCAAGATCTGAGCGAACCCGCCTGTTTCTTTTGCCACCGACGCTGCGGACGACCACCACGACGACGACCAGAGTCAAGGCTGCGACGAATCTCGGTCGCGGTTTTTTCGCTGTGAAGACTGTGGTGTCTTCATGCAATGCCACACATGCTTGACCGAACGGCATGCAACGAACCCATTGCATGTAGTTAAAGTGAGCTCTTTTCGTGCCGTGCAGAGAGGACTTTCATTAATGTCATATTAGGAGTGGAACGGCAATTTCTGGGAAAAGGTCGCGCTACATCGGCTCCATCTGAAGGACGAATCTTCTCGGAGCTTACGGATGACCTATCAACTTGGCCATCAAGGCCTTGCTTGTCCTTTTCCTCGTCCATTACAAGCTTTGGTTGTCATCGACACGACAGGCGTTTTTACGCTGGATGTTAGGTGAGCCATCCCTCCGCGCAACTTCTTGATAGTGACGATCTTCAGACTTTGCGGCTGCGTGAATTCTCTACAATACAACCTAATCGCCCAACTTATGGCTAATCGCTGGTACCCCGCCACCGTCAACGAACTCGGCACCTGCGCCACCTTTCGCGTTCTCGACCTTTATCGTCAACTCAATGTGGTGGGCAATGTTAGTGCCCATGACTTCGTTGGCACTCTCGAGCGGCTGACTGATCCGACAAACCTGGGGAAAACTCCGGTGGGTCGGTCGCTTTTGAAGGTGTACTCGCTGACGGAACTACAGGACCGATACCGCACCTTCAGTCGCATAACCAGACAGTATGCATTTCTTCTCCGCCTTAAGCGCGCAGGAGTCGGCCACGAGGCGACCGCATGGAATCCTCAGGCCGGTGGTGCTGCTGAAATAATGGGGCCAGGGCGGATTGCCGTTCGTTGCTGGGCATGCCCCCGCCCGGGCTATAATCTCCCCGATGGATGGGAAACTTGTGGGCCAAACGACAAGTACGCCATTTTGACTTTGGACGATAGATATATGCCTAACACTCTTCTCAGGTTTCTGTATAGCTTGATGCTAGCACTCGACGCGAACTTCAGGTTGAAAAACCGCATTCGGGCGAACGAGAGAAATGATCCTTCCCTGGGGTCAGGTTGGGGCTATTTTGTGGACGACGAGCCGTATCGGGAGCATCTCCGCGATTATGTAGCTGAAGAAGATGTAAGTTCATCTTCCTGAGCTGGGCAGCACGGTAACTTACGCGCCGCACAGGTCAGTACCTGTATCGCATTTGCTGCGTTGATGCAGAAGGATACTCGGTTGACGACTGGCCTTCGCGTCTCTGGCGTGGGTGGTTGTGTCTGTGCTAGACATGGTCTCATTCGCGCAGGAGGGCTTGGTGACCTCCAAAAGGGTGAACGGTATGTTTCCGCGGACATTTCGATTTCGACTTTTAACAAATGCGCTAGCTATGCAAATATGGACTACATCTTTATGCATGCACTTAGTGATGCCCGCGTGAAACGTTTGGTCGTTTCGTACGACATCGCATGTCAATGGAAGATACGGCTGCGGGAGCGCGTCGTTCATATCCTCGAGGAGTCCAACATCCCGCCCAACCTCGACGCCTTCGATATCGAATTTGCGCTTCCTGTTTGGCACGCGGCTGCACACGAAGAAAACTGTCAGGCTTCCAACTCTCTGAGCTATACTGTCGGTGTTGGTAGGACGGACGGGGAGGGTATCGAGCGGACTTGGTCCATCTTGAACCCAATTAGCTTTTGCGACAAAAGAAATGGGTCAAGGGAATCGACACGACACGATCGAAGACCGAGTTGATCACATCAACTTTGAGAAGAACGTGGGTCAAGGTCAGTCGTCTGGGCTTTGAAAGTTTCAGATAATTGACGGTCATGCTGTAGCTCAGATTCTGGCACGGAAACTCATCATCGCCGTCGCTGAACGCGACCAGCAAATAGGAGAATTCATCGAGGTGGACAGTAGCCTGAACCCAACGGTTCGACGAGAGTGGATGCAGCAGCTGAAGGACTGGCTCGCGGACAAGAACAAGGCCAATCCATATATGATCGCTGGGGGAAAGAATGGTAAGGACCCCCGTACCGGGTTTGCTAGTCATTAACAACGATTTCAGCTGGTCCTTCCGAAGCCCAGGTCGCTGCAGAACTAAAGCGAGCAGAGGTGAACGAGGCGCGGGAAGGACGGGGCGACTTTCTGGATGGCGCGACGACTGCGACGGCCTTCGTGAAGGCCTTGCTCCACTTGGAGGATATGAAGTTCGTTGCTCCTTGTTTTTCTTAACAAGCATTAAAAGTGAAACCAGACGACGCATCAAGAATGAAATACGAGGGTCAACAACGCTCAGCGCTGAGCGCTCGGTACAAATCGAAGAACTCCGAGTGTCATTCTTCAAGAAACTGAAGATGATACAAAAACAACAAGATGTCTTCATGCCTGGTGTCGAGACACTGAGGGTGGCAGAGGAAGCTTGTCGCGATTCCGATCGTCCGCCTACGAAAGCCGAGGACGTCAAACTCTGGCTACCGTCCGATTTAACGGAAGCGCAACGAGGGAGGGCGAGTCGAGCAGCACTCTCAACGGTGGAAGCCAAGCTTCGAGAGGCTCAGTGTGGCGATGCACTCTCGCAGATCCGCAGCCTACTCTACACGAAGACGCACTTGATTCATCATCGTAATGCGAACGCGGTCGGGCAACGGGCCTCCACAAGATCAAGCACGCTAATATCACGAGTAACGGACCAGATAAGGAGGGAGGCATTCAAGTATCGACAGGCCCGAGCTGCTTTAACGCGACTGATGGGGCCTCAACATCGACCAGACCTGGCAACACTTGAGGATAGCGACCTCAACGTTCGCGCCGAAGAAGAGAGTGATGCGGGGGCAAGACTTCGGCTGGGACGGGTTGGTGCCTCGCGGCGAGCTCGGAATGAGCCTACTGCTTCTGGAAGTGGTGCTGTATCATGGATATGGCGAACGATTGTGAGCGATGACAATGAAGTTCGGATGCACGATGGTATATTAGCACTTGAGCTTTCATCACATTGCTAACTAATGAATAGCTGTTCGCGTCAGATGGGCAAAGACGTTGGCGCGACGCGATCGCTGGATTGAAGAGGTTCGGCTGCTACGGGAGGAGATGAAACGCGTGCTTCGAAGCCTAAAGGCAGAGCAGCGCGCATGGCAGCAGAGGGTTGAGTGTGGGCGAGAGGTGGTACCAGAGATCGCGGCAGGTTTGAAAGCATATGCGAAAGCGCCAGGTGGCGGTACACAGGTGGATAGCCGAGCGCTTTGTGGCGGAGTGGACTAAGCCGGGGAAGGTGGCTGTCGAGGCCGTGTTGCGGAAGGATTTGTGCACGTACCAGCAGCTAGTAGCGGGGGGGGAGGAGAGGGCTATAGGGCTGGCCGAAATACCCGAAGTCGTAGTCGAATAGCTCCTTTAGACCAATTTATGGCCGAAACGGCTCTTTGCCTGAAATGGAAAAGAAAAGTGAAAAGAAACAAAGCCACAAGGCTAGGTCGCTGCAAGGATTGATGTGTTAGATCTGGGATCAGATTTTGATTGAGCATCACCTGGCCTGGGTGCCGAGAGCCGCCGAGCAGCCGCCAATACAGGCTGACAGCAGTAAGGGATAGCAAATAGCCAGAATAGCCTAGCAATTGCTAGGGCAGGAGTTGCTAGTCTGTTAGGCTGCGGCTATTCTAGCAGTTGGTGGCACAACAGCCTAAATCTTACACCTACGGGTGGAGCAAACCACCATTCGATTTTCTGAAACAACAGTCAGCCATAGTCGACCATGAGGAATGGACGCCGACCTTCTTCATATCGTCCATCACCTGGGCCTTCTCCTCCGTCTCTTGCTCGTTTCTGGGCTCCTCTGCCAACGCCGCTAGGGCTACCGGATCGTCAGGCAATTCCTCGTCCAACTTCGACCTCCATGGCGACAATTTCCACCACCCTGGGAGAATCACGTCCCACAACGACTTGCCAGACCCGCGACGGGGTCGCGCACCGGTCTTGCGACGCTCGATATATTCAGGCACGAAGCTTTCCAAATAGACCAATCGTTTCCCGACGAAATTGCCTTCAATACCCGGCTTGACTTTGGGCCCCTTCAGTTGGCGATTTTTTTTGGGCGCCGTCGACATTCTTTGCTTGTGGATGCGCGCACTGGCGACGCGCTGCGGTATGCGTTGCGTGGTGGGGAGAGAAGGAAAAGAACGCGTGAAGCAAGAAGGCCGTCCTCTCCCCGCTCGTTACGCTCAGAACAGCTCTACTTACACAACGGTTCGTGTCTTCTTTTGGACTCATCAATTCCTCGCTGCTGAATCATATACTTCGATAGATTGTAGTATTTATGCAAAACCAAATACAAATAGACAAGCTAAGCTGCACTCTCAAGAAAAAACATCGACCCCCCGTTGTTGCCACAGCGACTAGAAGAAAAAATCAATGAGCTGGTCGGCCACAGAATCCGCGGTGTCCGGCACGCCTCCAAAACTGTCGTGCTTCGCGGCATTAAAGGGCAGACTAAAGACGTGCGCTGCAATGCGCCGCTTATCGTCCGACCCACGCAGGCGAGAGAAGCGCCCCCAGAGCACATGAGGTTTCGTCTGCGCGACGACTTCATTCCTACCAGATAAATCAGAGATGGCAGGCAAGTGTGTGGTCGAAATGGCGACTGACCAAGAAGTAAGTATGTTGCCGCTATGTTCCACCCCCCAAAACCGAGGTTTCCGCTGTCCCCTGCCAAGCGTGAAAGATGGCACGACCAGTGCAACCTTGCCAGAACCGGCTTTTGGAGTCGTGGCCGGAGCCGGGGATAATGGACGAGAAGAAGCAGGCGATTCGCTGAATAACGCGTCCAACGCGTTTTCTGGGAACTTAGGGAGCTGTCTGCCACTGAGACTGACACAGTTGAGGCGCTCTACCAGTTCGCCTGGCTCGAAAAGTGCGAGGGGAGTCGGAATCGAATTGTTCTTTGAGGGCGACGACGTGGGAGATGACCAAGGAGAGTCGCTGCCCGGTCGAGGAGGTGGATGTCCAATGGCGAACATGACCAGCGTCTTCGTCAACTTCTCGCTGTGTTTGTGCTCATAGCAGCAGATAGATGCCCACTTCTCCAGCACGTCTACCCAACTTTCGCAAATGATCCACTTGTACTCTGAGGACCCCGCGTTGGCCGTGCGAGCAGAGATGCTTTTATTTCTCGTCAGGGCAGAATCATAACGAAGAAAAAGGACTGACGGGCTCGAGAACACGCCTGGTTTTATCCCATGTGTGACCAAAGCCAGAAATCCCTTGTCGAAGGGTTGCTCGCGTCTATCTTCGCGCCCAACATCGGGGTAGAACGCGGGTTGGCACAGTTCATAGACCGGGAGCTGGGGCGGCATGTCCATGGTAGAAGGTCAAGACGTAAGAAGCTGCTTTAGTAAGGCTTACAAACGAGGGAGGCAACGCATTCAGAATTTGATACAGTATGTATGGTACATTTTGGGCTACAAAGCAGACACTACAGCAGGTAAGGTAAAGTCCAAGGTAAGGTCCAAACAAGCAAACGACGAGCAAACAAGCAAACGAGCAACGAGCAACAACAGCGATACAACAGACCCACGCAGCAATATCAAACCCAAAGCAACAGGCGAACCCCCCCCCTGGACCGAGCTCGTTCTACGACCACGAGAGCGTCCCCAAGCGAAGAGGGTCCGACGACTCCATATACGCCGTCTGCGTTTCCTCACCATCCAAGAAGTAGAGTCGGCCTTCGGGATCGGAGGCCAACTTGAGAAGATACCTGTGTACAGAGTGAGTTCCTTTCAAAGAATCAAATGAAGCCAACGCACTTGACGATCAAGGGCCCAATTACCCGCAGATCCGATCGCTCGACGCTCTTGAGCGACATGTCTGCATTGACCACGACCTGGTTGACCTCCACAGCATGCTTGACGACGACGACGGAGCCACGGACGGGCTGGAGCTTGACCCCCATTTTTTGCAGGAGCATGTCGATGCCTTTGTTGACAGGGCGATCTGGGGCGTCCGAAGAGTGTGGGCAGTCCAAGAGGATGGTGTATGCGTGGGTGGGATCAGCCTCGGTAGTGTGAGCCAGTTTCTTGCATTTGTAGCACGGAGCCGGATGCACGCTGAAATGGTCGAGCGAGAGGGCCATGCGACGAAGAGTTGGCGCCAGCGGGTCGAGCGAAAAGTTCACGATCGTCGGAAAGCCACAGCTCCACGGGACCAGGACAATCCCCACCGGATGGGACACCACAAGTCTTGCAAAGGCCAAATGAGCATATGACTGAAGTAGGTCAGCGTGAGTCAAAGCGCAGTTCAGGCAGCGACCACGCACTCGGCCATAGTAAGGCTCCACTGTTGGACCCTCCTCGGTTGACGACGAGGCATTCGAGTCGTAGCTCCCGTCCCAGTCGATTGACGAAGAGGAGTTGCTGGCGATGGCGAGGTTGCTCATGGAGGTAGGGAGCAAAGAGGAAAGGCAAGCCGCAGCAGCATTTGGAAAGGAGTTAAAAATTTTTTCTGTCTCGTGACGTGTGATGTCACGTCACACTCCTTCGATAGCCTTCGATCCTTCCTTGGTCTTCGACTTCGCTTTGGCTCAGCACCAGCACCCAAAGTCGCTCGCACCTGCGTAATAGGCAATGGCCGAGCCTGCGTGGCCGAGAATCTTCATGGGGCAGAAGGCTGCCGACTTCTGCCTTGCTTGCTCTTCCTCTACCCCCCATCGTTCCAGGCTGTTATGTCGGGTGCGTGAACCATTCCCTTTTCTTCTGCCCGTCGTTTACACTCGCCACAGCTGCAGACCAGATGCCTCCGCATACTCCAGACTCACCTCTGGCAACTCCCCAGAAACCGCCTTCGTCCCAAACACTCGCTATTCCTTCGAAGCCACAAAAGCCGCTGTCAGCTGGGCATACAAGCTATGGTACTTGCTCTCTCGACAACATATATATAGATTCGCTAATATACTACTAGATGCTGCTCTCGTGGAACTCTGCTCTCCACCATCGAAAAAGCCCATCTCAAACGGGTCTTCGGACATCTCCAATGGATCGTCACCTATTCGTGAGTTTCTGCTTCTGCTCTGTTTTGCGTTGAGTCTTACTCTTCATCTGGAACAGCGTCCCCACCGTCCTCTCCTACCAAAAAAGGGCTTCCATCGCATCGTGTCAAGCTCAAGCCTTATACGCGTACGCGCCCCGTGCCCCGACCTTTGACCATCAGAGGTCTGTTTTCCGTACAAATACCCTCCGCACAAGCACTGACCAAGCTCTTTAGACGGTGTCACTCGTCCGATGGGCCAACCCAGCCGTTGGGCCAAGTACATGCAACGAAAACAACGCCTCGCAGCGCTCGCATCCGAAGTTCAGGAGCTTAACCAAACGATCGACAATATCCGTAGCCTGGCAGACGATATCGGGCTCATCCAGCAACAACAGTCCGTCGAGGCGGGTTACCATAGCGTCTTTGCTCGCGCGTTTCGAGCTTCTGCCGCGCGTTTGGAGGGTATGGGGCTGGGCACAGAGCTGGATGAATTGCACGACAAGATTGCCGTTCACACGCAAAAGTCGAACGACGCTAAGGCGGTTGAGCATCGTGCTCATAACGCTTGGTGGGCATTGATGCACGTCGAGATTAATCTCAGTCGACACGCGGGGCTGCTGCAGCGACAGCTCGACACCGACACTACTTAGCGTATCTACGATGTAGTCCATACATTTTGAAACTCCTTTCTTGCTAAGACAGACCGAAAAGACCACACTTCAAGACTACACTTCAAGACTTGACTGATTTGTGGAGCCGCGAGTCACGCGTTACACGAAAGTCTGGGATCAGCCTTTTATTTTATGTCTCGGGCATTTGGGCGTTGAATAGTAAAGTAAGGACAGTTATATGTAGGTATTTGTCGCCCCTTTCTCTGGAGAAAATTTTGAGTGAGTGAGGAATTTATTCGTGTCGGAGGAGGATCCTAGATATTTCCCCTCAGAATCACGCTCTAGTACTCGAATCTTGTCCAAGTTTGTATCTTTTAACGTTTCTTGTCAAAATTAGTGACCATTATCTTTCCAAAATTTTACATGGGAAGTCAAGGGGACTACCATAGATGACAATAATGCCTTTGCTATAGCATAGAAAGGCCTACAAGGATGACGATGTTACAATCTCCATATCCGAGATTTATGATCTGCAGAAGATGTTACGATCCACGTTATGTTGCCGGGTCCTTTGGGTTCCAATGAAGTCAAATCACCTAGATGGTAAGCCTTAGGCATTCAGAGTCACTGGCACACAGTGTTAATTATATTTCACTGGACCAAGTTGAGCTCTACTCGATAAAAATAAGAGTTATCATATCAGTCACATCAATTGACCTCTCTCATCTACATCCATCGTCTATGCCCCGACCTCGTAAGTACTCGACAGAGTCGGAGAAGAAAGAGGCGGCCCGCCAGTATAGTCGAAAGTACGAGCAAGGGCCAAGGTGCGTCATTGGGGCTGCCCTGCCAGCCTTTTCTCGCTGACTTTTTCTCTCCCTCAGAGCAGTGGAGGTCCGCGCTGCATATCGCAAAAAAGCGGCGGGGTCGTAAACAACAACCACTTAGCCTAGCACACACTCCTCTACTTCCTGTCGAGCTTGAGGAACACGCCGATTTCAAGTGGCCTGAAGAGCATTGGCTTTTTCGTCGCGCTCTAACGGGACAAATCAGCGCTCGGCGTCTTTTTCCGTTTCAAATCGCTCCACCATACTCTCCTGCCGACTTCGAGGACCAGCCACGCCGCGAGTTTGACACCGTAGACGAGCTGGAGTACACCATTCATGGTTGCAAGCTTCGACAAGAAAAGGAGACAGAGGCTGATTGGCTCTCTTGGCTATCTATATGGCGCCGCAAAGAGGTTTTGGCGAAATGGGAGCAGGAGTTGCTGGCAGCCAGAGCTGAATGGGCACGATTGAAGGAATTGCAGGATCGCCTTGAAGGAGACGATGAACATGGCACAGAGGCATTCTACAGGTCCATGATAAAGGTGCATATGGGGTGGGCAGCGCGTCGATGCGTACGTTTGCGGTCGCTGGCTTTTGCTTAGAGTAGAGTACGAGATGTTCTCTGGCGGCGGTCAAATCCATTTTCTTGCAGCAAAATGACATCATCATCACCGACTCATCAATCAAATTTCTATCACTCATTCCTTGACTTTCACCCACTCATACGTGCTCCGCCTCCGTCCGTGCTCCGCCTCGTCTGCCTCCCCGTCCTTGATTCTGGATGGGGATTCACCGACTCCAGCTCAGCGTCGCTCACTGACCTGTTGGGAGCCGCACTCATTTTGCTCTCATTACGTCTGCGATTCTGGCCGAAGTCTTCTTGGTCTTCGGAGGGGGAGTGAGTGCGGACAGCCAGTTCTTCCCTCCAACGCCATGCCAGCTGCAGCTAGCCAGACCCTGCCAACGGTACGATATCCATGCACTCTTTGTTTACCCAGTGCTCCAACCTCTACCCTAGCCTCCCGCCCACTCTGTGCATGTCGTCACTCTTTGATGTGATGGTCGGGTAGACCATCGGCGCGCCATGACCACGGGCGATGTCTCCTCCATTATGCCTAGCTTGCAAGAGATTTGGCATACAGGCAACCCCGGCTGGTCTGAGTGGCTGGCGCTCACGGGAGTTTGGTGCTTCCCTCACGAGTCATACTCCTTCTTCGAGGCCCTGCGGGATCGCGATGAAAAGCCTCTCGACGACGACGACGAGATTTCATACAACAGGGCGGTGGCGAATTTGGCGTCGGTCGACTCGAGCTGGGTTCCTGCCATGAGAGGGCATGTTCTCATCGTCAAGCACGCCCCAGAAAAGAGCGACCAGCTCCAAGACAACCTGGTCAAGACTGTACTCAACTCCGAGGCTTATGACGTCTCGGACAGCGAAGTCGAGCACGTCCTGAACCTTGCGCGTCGGTGTGTATATGACCAGCCTGAGTTGACCCCGTCACTAATGGTGTGCTTTTTTATAGCTGGTTTTACGGACAGCCTCCGCCTGCGTCTTCAGAGCACGGCTCATTTGTTGTCTCACCGGATTTGTGCCACCCTTTCTCGGACACGGATGGAGCGGGTGTCATAAAGGGTATCGTTAAAGGCGAGCCATTTGTTAACGAGTAAGTATGGTCATTTAACGTTGGCTGCTGCTTGCTTACAAAGAGAGCAGGGACCTTATGCTTGCCATCAGAACGTAGTGTACCATCGGGACGTAGTGTACCTCTTTGCGATTGGGACATTGATAAATTTTGCGCTCTTGTTTTCCCTCGTGTCCACGTGCAAAGTTATGACATCATATAATTCTTCTTCGGCCGAAATGTCCCTGACTGACAGCTATCCTTCCGAATAGCTGTCCAAAAGCAAGCCATACCGGCTGCTACTGTGCCCTTCTTTCGATCTGGTTTGTGGCGGGTTCAAGTCCGCCTCAAGCTCTTCCCACGGCTGGAATTTTCATGACTTTTTTTTTTACTGATATTTTTTTACTGACGCGTTTTTTGATCTTGTTTGGTCACAGCCATAACGCTGATCACGTCAGCTCTTCTCACTCTTCCTACATGGCCAGCAACTCTCGCAAGCGCCGCGCGCCAGCCGCCCCAGTTTTCGTTCCGCCACCATACGTTATCTATAACAGACCTCACTGGTGCTCCACCAGACGCCCCTCTTCCAACCAACATACATCGTGTTACCTCTGACAATCGACGCGTCCATACCCAAACTATTCTGGTCCAACCAACTTCTCCAGTCAAACGCGCCCGAATCGAACACCTCGAGCGTCAGCGCGCTTTACCGAGCCTCCTCCTGCCCGAGGATACCGAGAGATATGACATGGGCCTGGATGGTGACGAGAGTGGCGACGACATAGAGACAGAGGCTGGTTCTAAGACCCGCCAAACGCGACCAGCGGTAGGCAATCGATTTATATTGCCTCCCTTATGAGATTAACTGCTATGTTAGGATCCTTCGATGGACGATTGGGCCAAAAATCACCGAGATGCCTATTTACGAGGCATGTTGTGGCGCGAAGGACGAGGCCAGGATGTGGAGATCTGTGGGAAATGTGGCGACCCTTCTCGCCCCGCAATATTCCGCTGCCTCTTCTGCCATGGCCAGGGTGTTGTTTGTGAGACTTGTTGTCTGCACGACCATCATTCCAATCCGTTGCATTATATCGAGGTAAAATGCTTCCCTTCCATGGTCCGACTATAACGCTTATTATGATAGAAATGGAATGGCGTCTACTTCGTGAAGAGTTCTCTTCATGATCTCGGGTTGCACATACAATTTGGCCACCATTCCAACGACACATGCCCTTATCCACGAGCAGGTCGGTCAGACTTCGTGGTCATCGCTGACAATGGCATTCATTCTGTCGCGGTCAACTTTTGCGGCTGTATGGACAGCGATCCCAATCACCTTCAGCTGTTGAAAGGCGGTTGGTACCCTGCGACGACGGACTCCCCCCGAACGGCTGCGACATTCACGTGTTTGGACCGGTTTCACTACCTTTCGTTGCATGGGAAGACCACAGCCTACGACTACTATGCCGCCTTGGAGTCCTTAACCGATGGGACCGGGATTAAACCTCCTGACCGATATGCTATATTCATGCGCATGTCTCGTCAGTATCGACACCTGCTCCTCCTCAAAAGAATGGGCCGAGGACATGATCGCTATGGTGTATTGGGTACTGGCCCAGGCGAACTCGCTCTTCGTTGTCCCGCGTGTCCACGACCCGGAGTCAACTTACCCGAAGGATGGGAGAATGCTCCTCCCGAAAAACAGTCAGTACTATTTGACTTAACTTGCATTTCATAGCGCTGATCGGTTGGCAAGATGTATGTATGTCATCTTCATTGCGCTCGATGCCTGCTTTCGGCTCAAACGTCGGGCGATCTCCAACGAACTCCGAGACCCTGGGCTGGGGACAGGTTGGGCTTATATGTTGGAATGGCACCCTTACACTGCGGGCAATGGAGCATATTCCGCCCTGGAATATGTTGAGAATATTATGAATATTCCAGGCTGTATTCATTCCATCTTCTAGACTGGAATATGACAGGAATATCCGTGGAATATTCTCAATTTTCTCACCATCTGCCAAGTATATGACAGCCCGGAAAATGTTGGGCAGATCCGTAGAATATTCTCAATCTGCCACATGTTTTCATTCAATATTCCGGCCTGGAATATATCACATGTTCCAGCCTGGAATATTGTGACCAGATTCTAGGACTATCATTGATTAGGATTCTGATTGGGATTCTATGATTAACTCCATTTAAGCAACCACATACTATATTCTTAGTACGTACTTAGATACCATGAGAATTAACCTAACCACCTCCACACGTAGTCCACAAGCAAGAACTTACCTGTCTATTCCACAAAAGAACAGCACCAACATCAAAAGACTTCACAGTCTAAGTTTCTACCCAAGTCCGTCCCTCCCGACATCCTCTTCTCCTCAAACAGCAACTCCGACCGCCCTCGTTGTCTAACGTGCTGCAAAATGTTGCTCGCGCCAGAGGCCTTGCCAATGATATGTGACGAAGACATTGTCAGTATCCCGCATTGCCCAACACGGACCGAATAACATTATTGCTCCGAAACCTTGTAAACTATATCTACAAGACGACAACTGTCAGCAATGTGATCTTCGTGGTCGCAATATATGGCCGTTTGATGGCTTGTACTCTTTGGGCCTTTGCGAGGGTTTGTAAAGATATCATAAGCCCTTGTATGTTTTTTCCGATTTTGCTGATGGCCAGTCACAGCGCCGCCGCGTGCGCGCCGGCTGCTCTAGCTAGATCTACCCGGCGCGACCACAAACAAACCATGACTAAGAAGCGGAATCGTTGACTTTCCGACAATTGAGCAGGGGACCCCATTGGTGCCAACAGCACGCCTCATTCTCAAGTTCCCGACACATATCCCCTCCCATTCTGAACCCTATGCGACTTCTTACCGCTTTCAACAAGGCTCTCAATGATGATGTTGTTCTCAGAGGTCATCTTATCCTTCTTTAAGAGAACCTCACACCGTCCAACAGTTACTTGAAAATGAGCATTCAACCTGCATTAATGCTGTCCAGCTGTACTCCGACTTCGTGACGGAGATGAACCGGAGCTACACCCTGCATGGCATCGTATTGTTGTAGCTGGAGCTACAAACAACTCCACTAGCAATGGCTAAGTCACTCCCTCTTGTTGCCCTTCACCTAATGTTAACAATTCCTCCGAGTCTGTGACCAGCACCAATCGCGAGTTAAAGACTCTGGCTCGTTCTTGTACGAGTCGTTCTTACTCGTTCGCGGCAAAAGCCTGATTGTCACCCCTGCAACAGCTGGCACAAGTGATTGCAACAGTAGATTTCAGTCCAGCGAGCGATACAACAACACAACAAGCGATACAACAACACAACAATACGATAGCCTGAGCGAGTCGTCAACACAAACAAGCAAACAAACACAATTTATATGTCCGTCTCAGAGTCGCACGAAGCTAGCAGTACATCACACCCACGGGCGTACTTCCCCGCCACCAATCAAGGTCCATGGGTTGACTGCAACGACGAAGTACGGCCCAGGTGATGAATTTGCATTCCGACAAGGGCAAAATGGCCAAATCGACGGCAATTTTTCCGGTTGCGTAGTCCAGAGTCTCGATCGGATTCACTTCCCACATGTCCATCCCCTGCACTTCCAGAATATTCTCAGCCCAGACGCCCTCAATCCGGAGAGGCTCGCATTCAAAGTGGTAAACCACAGATAATGGCATCAAGCTAGTCTCGATTGCCATTGAAGCCATCTCCTTGACTTTTGTGAATGCAACACTTTCGAAGTAGTGCTGAAACACCTGACGCATGTACCTGCGCTCCATGTTGGCAATGCCCCAATGTTCCGCATCTGGATCATGGTCAGCAACATGAAGGACTGCCCGGTAAAACTAGACGCACGCTGCCGGTGCTGCGACAGCGTCGGGCAGCACAATCTATGTGCTCGTAGTCTCCGCCGCTGGCACACTTCATCGCAGTAGTACATTTGTAGACAAGCGGAGCAAGCTTTCAGATCGTTTTTCAATTTGACCGCCTTGCACTGGAAGCTGGTAGTAAGATCCACGAGAACGCTGACTGACACCGGCACTCACAGATTGGCAAATTCCTCTTCTATTTTCAGCGCTATCCTTCGAGCCTTCGATGAGATTAAACAATTGCATCTGAGTCATCGAGCTGTCAGGTAATGCCGCCTGCACCCCAAGGATAGCCCACGTACATTTTGCTTCACGTGTGAGCACAAGCGCCTCAAGACTGCGTTTGAACCGTTGTAGTTTTCGAATATTGAAGATCTAGCGTTGAGAGCTTTCACGAGCCGTGGATTCCATATCGACATCGCCAACGCACAGTAAATCACCTCGACCAGGTCTTCCCTTTGGCTGTCGAAACACTTTGAAAAATCGAGGTAGCGCAGAAAAATCTGGACCCCTGATACGACGCCAGTACCAATAAGCATCGGAATGCCGAATTGAAGGTATGACTTTTTCTCTTCCGCTAGCCTCAAGAACATAGCCACTGCAGCATCCATTGCCAATGACATGTCCGGTTCGCTGATTTGCGCGCAGTCGGAGTCCAGCAGCGCCACCAACATATGGAACAGCCTTTTGTATAGATTCTGGGCAACCAACGCATCATGCAGTTGAGGGTCGGAGATCCCTCCGTCCTTGTAGATCCGGTATGTAAAGCCCAAGACCTGCATAATCATCTCAGGCAGTCCCCAGTGGTGTTCGGATCCGGCGAGGCACAGATAGCTAGCGCAATATCGATCGCCTGTATGAGACGTTTGGCGAGCACGGTAGGTCCCTTGTGACTCAGGAGGCCTGATATGGCGATTATGTGCGGTTTGGCCAAGTAACCCATCAGGCGCAGAGTGCCTATTCCAAGTACAGTGATCTTGTTGTCGGTCACCCCGTTGTCGCGGGGGAGAAGTGCGACAAGAATTCAGCGACAAGCTGTATGTCAGCTAACAAGACTGCAGATAAACCAGATATGAGTCGAACAGCCCTCTTCTGAGTCTCCGACTCTGCCTCGCTCTTGAAGTTGCTTTCGTCTGCAATCGGCGCCAGTACGGCTGCGATATCGGTGAATCGTATGAGCGCACAGCCGGTTACGGTCTGGATTTCTTCTCGAGACGCAGGACCTTCGACAGCTTTACCTTGCGAGTCCACAGCATGCGTCGGCAGTTCCAGATCGGCTCCAAACCATACCAAGTTGAGTCTCCACTTCCAGAACGAGGGCCATGCTTCAACTGCCTCTAGCTCTGACATGCACTTATGTTGGGCAATGAGACCCATGAGCTCCCACACTATCGCATACTCTGTCTGTCGGGCGGCCCAGATGGCGTTCGAATTTTCGAGTCAGCATCAAGGCATGGTTCGTTTCTCTTCGAGCGGAGCGGTTGCTCGGGCATGTTTGAGGAGTTCAAGTAGGATTGAAACCATGGCCACACTGAAGTCCAGGGAGTCCCGAAATTTTTGGCGCCAAGTTCTCAGTCGGCTGTATTCTGCATAGAATAAATGAAGGCGAGTATTGAACGGGGAATTCTAGGAAACAGCAGCTGAATTATGGCACTTCTATAGCTGTCCAATCGTATTTCTTACCCAGAGTGGTTCAGACATGAACGCGAAAAACTCAAGAAAGTCACTCGTCACACCATCAAATTACATAATTTGATTGGAAGACTCAACCACAAAAACTTTGAATCAGTAATTCATTGTCTGTAAGTCCATCGAATGCACCATCCACAACACCTTCATCCTCCTTGACACGCCAAACTTGAATGCTTTTGGTTATATAATTAAGGTGAGTTCGTGAACTTGCTCGAAGAATGGGATACCTTACCAAGATTTGAAGCTGCAGGCTGCAACCATGACGATTCCGGCCTGCTAAATGTACCAAATGCTTTTGGTAAAGGTGAGCTCATGCATCATGAACTTGCGCAACTGAAAAAATGGGATAGCTTACCAAGATTTGAAGCTGGCAACTGCACGCCTCTGCGGCAATAACTGCCCGAACTAGCCGACACAAATAAACAACGGCTAGCCCTACCGGAAGGTGAGGCACCTTGGATGGGGATGGGATCCTGGAGCCCGACATGGCTGGCGGTCAAGAAGAGAGTAAATGTGGTTGTGGCATCTTGGTGATTCTGACGCCATACTCATCGCTCGCAGGCCCATCTCGTCTCCGTCACTGCCCACCACACCCGCGAGAAACCGCAACAGCATTGGTGAGGAAGAGCAGAAGACGCGGCATGGCATTTCCCAGAGGTTCCGCCTAGCCAGTCCGAACACAGACAAGGACGCCAGCTTTGCGACAACTAGCAGAAGCCTTGGCCACGACCCAGCATGTGCATGACAGGAGCCTAGGGCTGGTGGTTGGTGGGGAACTTGGGCGAGCAGATGACTGGCTTAGTCAGAGTCTTCCAGTTAGACTCTGACAAATCACTGATCATAATGACGCTGTGCCGTCACAGCGCCAGGACTTTCACCCCAACACAAGGCGGACGACAACCTAGGAAGAGAGGACGGCGGATGCGGCGGGGATCCGCGTGTCCGTACCACCGACTTCGATGTCCGGCAACTAAACAGCTCTACTCGCACTTGCGCTTAGAACCATTTGCTGGTTTGAACATCCAACTCGACGAGCCCTTCAATCAGCGCGTGGCTTCGCGTCGCTATGTGAAGCTTAGCGATGAATATTTTGAGCTCTGGTCCCCGAATGAGTCGGTGAAAGAGTTTCTAGCTGGGCTACCGCACCCCTATAAACCGTCTCCGTATGGAAACTAACGACGATTCGACAGCTCCTGGGGACGCTTTGACTACATTCATCATCCACAGTATCTCGGTTCCAACCCTCCTTTCATCCCCTATATCCGTCGCGCTTATACTATCAAGAAAAACGACTACTTATAATTATACATCGTATATGCCCCACTCATGGATTTCTGGGAGAAGTCGACGAATCACCTAGGACGGGTTACCGCCAAGGGTATTC